TTGACCTGCTGGGCTCCAGCGATCCTTCCGCCTCAGCCTTCCGAGTAGCTGGAACTACAGGTGCGCGCTACCACGCCCGGCTTATTTTTTGATTTATTGTAGAGATGAGGTCTCGCCAAGTTGCCTAGGCGGATCTCAAACCCGCGGGCTCAGGCAATCCACTCACCTCAGTCTCCCAAAGGCGCAGGATTACAGGCTGAGCCACCACATCTTTATAATAATAGTAAAAAAAAAAAAGTTATAAATGTGTATGTATTTTTAAAACCATGTAAGCTCCAGACTAACACAGAAAAGGGATACAGAGTGCATTGGAAAAGAACAAACTTTACCTTTTGAATCACAAAAAAAGTGTTTAACATCACTTACAATAAAAGAAATACAAATTAAAACTACAATGAAATATTTTTCACCTGAGACTGGTAAAGATGATAAAATTAAGAATATGTGGTACTGGCAAGGAGGTGGTTCAAGTATTCTCATACATTATTAGTAAATGGGAACAATCTGTTTAGAGGAAATTTAGTAACAGCTATTAACATTAAAATCGAATTCTACCCATTAACTCACGGATTTTACTTCTAGGAGTTTATCCTATACATATACTTGCTGCATCTGTGTACCAAGAGTTATTTACAAAGATATTCACTGCATCAATATTAGAAATGTCAAAAGATTAGAAAATGACTAATATCCTTCAAAAGAGGAGTGATTAAATAGATTATATAATATCCATCCAAGTGGTAGAATATTCTGCAATGGTTTAAAATGAGGTAGACCTCTATGAATCAATATGGTATAACCTACAAAATAAAGAATGTGAAAAAAGCATAATCAAACACTATTTATGGTATGTGACCACTCGTGAAAAGACTGATAACTCCAGAAGGATAAAAAACTTAACAGTGACTACCTCTAGAGAGTGGCAACGGTTAACAACCTGGGGAGGGAGATGCACTTTTCACTGTGCTGTTATATTTTTCAATCTCTGGTGGTGTTTACTTTATAAAAAATCATGTGTATGTATTACTTTTTGGAAAAAACCATTAAAATGTATGTTAAAAATAGCCCGACTATGAGCTTGATTATAATTCTGAAGAAGTATACCACTAACAACAGGGAAGGGAAATAAAATTAGCTTTTCCATATGTAAAAACAAAAACCATTTTTATTAAATGTTAGTAATTTTAAGATATAACAGTTTACGGGCAAGTTATTAAAAATGACAAGTCAAATAAAAATCATCATTTTTAAACCAAGCATAGCACCTAAAATGAACTGTCCCTGTTTTTTCTAGGTTAAAATGTGAAATATAAAGCCTCAGAATAAAAAAGCAGCAGATGCCGGGCTTGGTGACTCAGCATGTAATCCTGCGCTTTGGGAGGCTGAGGTGAGTGGATTGCCTGAACCCGCGGGTTCGAGACCCGCCGGGACAACTTGGCGAGATCTCATCTCTACAATAAATCAAAAAATCAGCCGGGCGTGGTAGTGCATGACTGTAATTCTGGCTACTTGGAAGGCTAAGGTAGAAGGATTGCCGGAGCCCAGCAGGTCGAGGCTGCAGTGGCCGGGAGCAGCCACTACACTCCAGTCTTGGCGACAGAGTGAGACTCCAACTCAAACAAACAAAAAAAAGTAGCAGACTTCAGATTCAAAATATTGGTTTTAAGTATTTTCTGATCAAAGAAAACAGGAGGAAATACCAAAGCTTTTCACCCTGTTAGGTCTGGTTGAATACAATTTTGCCAGTCAGGCATTATACAAAGTAAATTATAAAAATCTAGTAACTGAAATATTATCAAATTAAACCAAATTATGCCAAGTCCATAAGTTTTACAGTTTATATAAAAAGTCATTATAACAATGTATCATTGTTATATAAAATTTAAAATTTGACATGTCCCTATTTACTCCTGACCTCTTATTTAAAAGTAGTCAAAATCAGTTAAAAAATCTTGAGTAGTGTATGCTTAATGATATCTTTTAAATTAAAGACTGTTGAACAGTAAACATTTGGAAGTAAATTAAAAACACATCAAAAGGAAATTCAGTAACTTATGATTTATCTCTAGACAGTTGGATACTGTGCAGTCACAAACAAGGGTATGACAGCTTACCACATATTGATCTGGAAAGATCTCTAAGACAAGTTGTCAAGAAAAAAGCAGGATGTGCAATAGTGTATAAATACACTACTTGTTTAAAAGAGATGGGAGGGAGAAAGAATTACATACTAATTTGCTTATATAGGCAACAAATATCCCTGCATATTAATATAAGAAATGCAAAAGGGTAGTTGGGGATGGAGTAGGTGGAGACATTTTACTGAAGACTTATTTTGGAATACTCTTCAGTTTAGGACCACATAAAAATATTACCTACTGAAAAAAAATGTAACAACTTTAAAACTTAAATTTAAAAATGTAACACTACTTGCTATATTGGGTGTTCCTGTGATCTTTTTTGCACGTTATTGTATTGCTTTTCCTTTTTTCTTGAGGAAAGAATAATTAAGGATTAGGCTGGGCTGGGCGCGGTGGCTCAAGCCAGTAATCCCAGCACTTTAAGAGGCCAAGGTGAGAGGACTGCCTGAGCCCAGGGTTCGAGACCAGCCTGGGCAACTTGGTAAGACCTCATCTCTATAATATATCAAAAAATTAGCCGAGTGTGGTAGCGCGTGCCTGTAGTTCTGGCTACTTGGAAGGCTGAGGCGGAAGGATCTTCTGAGCCCAGCAGGTTGACACTGGGGTGGCTGTGAGCGTGCCACTGCACTCCAGCCTGGGCGACAAGAGTGAGACTGACTCAAAAAAAAAAAAAGGAATTAGGCTTAATGTGCCATTATCCAGTATTATTTTATAAACAAGTTTCAAGTATTATACTTACAGTTCCACCCATGTGGGGAGGCAAATATTCTACACTGACATAGTCCTGGACTTCATTTTTGCCTGTAAACTTCAACAAACTCACTGCTTCTGGACCAAGCCAGGTCTTCACAATTTTGAAAGCAGCTGAAGAGAAAAAAGTCACTTCATTAACATTCTTTTCATTCTCTTTCTCAATTAATTTATTGTAAGTGCTAACCCAGGTCTTCTGAAATCAGTTTGGGCTATAATCTGTTAATATTTATTTCTATGTGGCATGATAATTAACATTCTCTAATTCCCATAGGCGTTTACACTGTAACTCTCCCTTATGGGTTTCAAATGTTCCATGAAGATTCAGGAAGATTAAATTACCTTGATGTTCATAAATAAACTTATCAGGATTCTGGCCTCTGAACAAACCCATCAATGATCCCAACTATTTAGATTTCCAGACACTGAATCAAACGGCAATGTGATTCGGGAAATAACTGACAATTGTATGGAGAGTCATTGACCATATGGTTCTGATAAGCCCTCAGTATGAAAAGCCTTCTCAAATGGGAAGTCAGGAAGAGAAAGAAACTCCTCATTGAGTGTGGGTGGACCCAGATTTCCTTCCTAGGCTAAACTTCTTTGCCTTTCTCCCAGGCACTGCTATTTATATAATTGTGGGGAACTTACAGAATCTACAAGAATAAACTGTCATCAAATACAGTTGTTTAGTAATTATAATCTTGTTCTGTCATTTCTTATTTATACTTAATTTTTAAACCTCATTTCCACTGTGATATTCTAAGTAAATTTTTAAGAAATTAGAAGAGGAATACTGCATTACTTTTGCAAAAAGGTGTCAATGGGGGAAAAAAACAGGAAACAAGAGCAGTATGATAAACATTAGTCATTCAGAAAATTATATTTTTACTTTGGCTAACTAAAGTTTTAAATTAGATAATGTGTTAGATCTGATTTTTATAATAGCTTTATTGAGATATAATTCACATGTCATAAAAATTCACCCTTTATGCAATTTGATGTTTTTTTAGTATATTCAGAGTTGTGTAACTATCACTACTATCTAATCTCAGAACATTTTCTTCACACCAAAAAGAACCCTCACCTAGCAATCTCTCCTTATCTCTTCCAGTCCTTAGCAACTACTAACCTATTTTCTGTCTTCATGGATTTGCTTACTTTGGATATTTTATATAAATGGAATCATACAATGTGTATGTGACTTTTTCTACTGGATTTTTTCACTTAGCATATTTTCAAGGTTCATCCATGATGTAATATGCATTAGTACTTAATTCCTTTGTGTGGATGGATAACTTTCCATTTTATGGATATATAATATTTGTTTATTCATTCATCAACTGATGAACATTTGTGTTGCTTCTACTTTTACTATTAGACTAATGCTGCCATGGACATTTGTGTATGAGTTTTTGTGTGGATATGTTTTCACTTCTCTTAGGTATACATCTAGGAGTGGAATTCTGGGTCACAATAATTCTGTTTAAGTGACAAACTCTTTTCTAACATGGCCACACCATTTTATGTTCTTACTAGCAGTGTATGAGGGTTCAAGTTTCTTTACATTCTTATCAATATTTGTTACTGTCTTTTTTATTATAGTGGGTATAAAACAGTATCTCACTCAGTTTTGATTTGCATTTCTCTAAGGACTACTGACACTGAACATCTTTTTATATGCTTATTGCTCATTTATTTATCTTCTTTGGTAAAATATCATTCAAATCTTTCATCCATTTTTAAATTGAATTACTTTTCTTTCTTTCTTTCTTTTTTTTTTTTTTGAGTTGGAGTTTCACTCTGTTGCCCAGACTGGAGTGCAGTGGTCGCTCCTGGCCACCGCAGCCTCGACCTGTTGGGCTCCAGTGATCCTTCCGCCTCAGCCTTCCGAGTAGCTGGAACTATAGGCATGCGCTACCACGCCTGGCTGATTTTTTGATTTATTGTAGAGATGAGGTCTCGCTAAGTTGCTCAGGTGGGTCTCGAACCCGCAGACTCAGGCAATCCACTCACCTCAGCCTCTCAAAGGCACAGGATTACAGGTTGGGCCACTGAGCCTGGCTACTTTTTTTCTATTGTTGCATTGTAAGCTCTTTACATATTCTAGTCGTAAGTCCCTTATCAGTTATATGATTTCTAAATAATTTCTTCTGTTCTGTAGGCTGTCTTTTCACCATCTTGGTAGTGCCCTTGAAGGTACAGAAGTTTTTAATTTTAATGAAGTCCAATGTATCTATGGTTTTTGTTGCTTGTGCTTTTGGTGTCATATCTAAGAAACCATTGCCTAACCTAAGCACAAAGATTTACTTCTATAATTTTTTTCTAAGAATTTTAGCTCTTATATTTAGGTTTCTAATTCATTTTTAGTTAATTTTTATATATGAGGTAAGGTAGGGGTCATTCCTTTGAGTGTGGCTACCCAGTTGTCCCAGCACCATTTATTAAAAAGTCTTGTTTTCTACTTAATTGTCTTGGCACCACTGTCAAAAAAATAAACAGCCAAAAATAAAATAAAAAAAAAAACTGATACAAAATGTTTGGGCTTATATCTGGACACTCAATTCTATTTCATTGATCTATGTCTATCCTTATGCCCACCTGTAACATCATGATTACTGTAGCTTTGTGTCAATTTTGAAACCAGGAAGTGTAAGTCTTCCAATTTTGTAATTCTCTTTCAAGATTGTTTGGATTACTTTGCATTTTCATATGAATTTTAGGCCAAGCTTGTCAATTTCTGCAAAAAAGGCAGCTGGGCTATTGCTAGGACTACACTGAATTAGTAGATCAATTTGGAAAATATTCCTGTCTTAACAATATAATTGGTTCTCCATATCTGTAGGTTCAGCATTCATGGATTCAACCATGAATTGAAAATATTAAAAAATAAATACATAAATCAATACAATAAAAATATAAATAAAAAATACAATATAACAACCATTTACATAGTACTAACATTGTATTAAATATTATGTCATTTAGAGATGACTTAAAGTATACAGGAGAATGTGCATAGGTTACACATAAATATTACTTCATTTTATATAAGGGACTTGAGCATCTATGGATTGATTTTGGTATCCACCAGGTGATCCTGGAACCAGTCTCCAGAGGATACCAAAGGATGACCGCAGTAAGTCTTCCAATCCACAAATAAGAGATGTCTTTTTATGTATGTAGGTCTTGAATTTCTTAATATGGTGTTTTGCAGTTTTCAGGATACATGTCTTGAACTTCTTTTATTAATGGCAGACAACCTCATCTTGCTTCTGATTTTAAGAAGAAAGCATTCATCCTTTCATTGCTAAGTATGTTAGCTGTGTATTTTCATAGATTCAGGTTTTTCATAATGCCCGTCATCAAGCTGAGGAAGTTTTCTTCTGTGGAGTCAAAGATTAGCTTTACCCAGAGAGGTATGGCCTTTGCCCTTAGCTTCTGGGAAGTAATCTTCATGTCTGATAGGATTGTCTTTGTTTGTCTGGGGGCCCTGGGTCACACTGGAACAATATGATTTGGGGTAGGGCCTGGCCATGGAAGAAAGGCTAACAATGTGATTTAGGGTGGGGGCTTTAGGTCACACAGTATCAAAAGAACTCTTAAGATCAGCCATGTGGGCAATCAATCGTATGTAAAACACTGTGAATATTGAGGTTTGGGTGAGCTTCTGAGGTTAGTAATAATCTATATGCATTGCCATACACCGATGCTAGCTAGTAAAGTAATGTGCTCCAAATTTGGTATTTCCTTCGACTCTGACCTATGTTTTACTTTTCTAGGCTGATTCTAATCTGAATTCTTTCTTTGTAATAAACCAAAACTGTGAGTATAACATCTTTCGGTGAGTTCTCAGAGTCCTTGACTAAAATTATTGAACCTGAGGGTGATTTGGAGCACTCCTCCAAACTTGCAGTTTGTGTCAGAAGTGAGAGTGGTCTTATGTGGACTACTGTGGTCCCTTTAACTATGTAATTTTTTCAACCCTTTGAACCTTATGTTACTAGTTTGTTGAGTGCTTTTATCATGAGAGGGTGCTGGGTTTTGTCAGATGCTTTTTCTGTGTCTACTGAGATGATCAAGCCATTTTTTCCTTTATTATATTACTATGTTGTGTGGCACTGATTGATTTTCATATGTTGAACCTACTTTGCATTCCTGAGATTAATTCCACTTGGTCATGGTATATAATCCTTTTTACATGCTGCTGGATTCGGTCCAGCAATGCTTTGTTAAGGTATGGTGCATCTATATTCATAAGGGATACTGGTCTGTAGTTTCCTTTTCCTGTATGTAAGGTATTAGGGTTATACACGCTTCATAAAACGAATTGGGAAGTAGTCCCTTCTCTTCTATTTTTTGGAAGAGTTTGTGAAGGGTTGGTGTCGATTCTTCTTTAAATGGTTCATAGGATTTACCAGTGAAGCTATCTGGATTTGGGCTTTTCTTCATGAGAAGTTTTAAAATTCAATTTCCTTTGCTATATTTTTATTCTGATTCCTCTTCAGCTAGTTAAGTGGTTTGTATCTTTCACTGATTTGTCCATTTCACCTAGGTTAACTAATTTGTTGGCATATAATTATGTATAATATCCCCTTATAATCCTTTTTATTTCTGTAAGGCCAACAGTAATGTCCCTCCTTTCATTCAAGATTTTAATAATTTGAATCTTTTTTTTTTTATTAGTTTGGCTAAAGGTCTGTCAATTGTGCTGAACTTTTCAAAGAACTGTTTTTGTTTTGCTGATTTTCTTTATTGCTTCCTATGTAACAATTGACTTTTGCAACATAAATGAGAATGCACATTCTGAAAATAAAATTAAATTTACAATCATCACTTTAAAGTTGGCGAAGAGTGTTTTTCAATGTCTTTTTCAAAATTTTTTTTACCAAAAAAATATGACTATCAAAAGAGTCATGTGAGTCTAATGATTTGGATGTTTCAAATTGATCCTATCTTCAATCTCAGCACCTGAAGTACCTGAGAAAATCTAGACAAGGCCTGTGTTCTGTGACGTATCTTATCAGTGGGTGACAAATTGAGGCTTCTGGATATAGTTTTACCTGAATGGTTGGATTTCTTGAGGCTGTATTTAATTTTTTTTTAAAGAAATGGGTTTCACTATGTTGCCCAGGCTGGCCTTTAACTCATAGGCTCAAGTGATCCTTCGACCTCAGTCTCCCAAGTCACTAGGACTACAGGTGTGTGCCACTGTGCCTAGTAAGACTGTTTTTAAGGAAGACTAGTGGGTGTCCCCAGATCCTGAGGATAGACTATCAGCCTTATTTACTTAGGAATAGCCTTTGTGTGTTCTAACTCCAGTCTCTTAAAAGTGCATACCAAGGACAATATAAGCATTCTTTTAAATAGCTGTGGAGATGTGGCTAAATTGGCAAAGTAAAGAAAAAAATCAGACTTCGTAAAAGAAAGTATAAATAACATACTCACCATTCATCAACCAAGGCATATCAAAGATCACTATTTTTGCTGAAAGATGAAAAAAAATTAATTGTATGTGACTTATTACCTCTATAGTAGTATCACTTTTGCCTGGCATAGAAAAAAACTGGTCACCTAAATGTAAGTAAAACCTGAGTTGGTTGACTGAGTTCTAATTCAATGAAGTGTGAGTGGTGCTGAAACTGAACTAGTGCACAATGGGGAGGGACCCACCCAAGAGGACAACTTGTGGGAAATCAATAATGCATTATCACTGTTCTCCAGCAGATAGCCTGTTCTTTTGTAGCTCACTGCTTTCACTATCTGAAGAAAGATACAAAATAAAATGGTTAAGTGGGTAAGTGGAGTCTTTGGATGTGGCATGTCATATTAGTGCTGAAGGTCATTGAATCATAATAACATTTCCATGTTTAATTTATAGTTTTAATTATAATTTTCTAGAGACTATATTGCCACATTGGTCTCACAGTTGTCCCCTTCCCTTTGAATAAGTCATTGTGCTTTAAGAAAGAAAAAGTATTTCTACTTTTCTTAATATCATGAGCTCACTGAAGCCAATAATTCCAAAGTATACAGAAGTATTATTTACACACTGAATTGAAGATATTAAACAGCCCTATTAACAACTGTGAGAAAGAACAAGAAACCATAAAGAAGATTTTTGAGATCCAATTCAGTCTTCTATTTCAGACGAATCAAAATGTAATTTCATTCTTCTCCAAGTAGAGAATCTCCTAGAGTGGTCACACGGATGCAGGACAAGTAAAGTACATACAAGGAATCTATGTAGGTAGAATATATACATTATCTCTAGCTAGTTGAAATGAATAGTAGTCTGATTCCTGTTTATATAGATCCATGAACTTAACAGCTCTCTCAAAAGAACCTTAAATGTATTTTATAAAGTAATAATATTTATACTACTTATAAGTTGCTCCTCACAAACTTCTTTAAATATTTCAATAGCAAGTGGATGTTTTATTTTTATTTTGTCCTTAGGAGAAACAGACTAATAATATGGAGAAGTGATTCCCTACTCAGCAAGCCTTAATGAATCAGGGTACATGCCAGATACAGGAAAAATTCATAACAAACAGCAGATACTACAGGTTCCCCAAACTGGATACTACTGGGTCACTCTCTTCACCTTAAAACATTCACAAATACTCTCTGAAGAGATGAGTATACAGGACCAGGGATGGCCTCAACTCCTGATAACTATTATGTTTTGTCTGCTCCTCACTTCATATGAACAATAATAATTATGAAAGCATGGTAAACTAAGATGATTTAGGGATTTTGTGTTTTGGTGTCACCTGAGTCACGCGTCCCAAAAGACCCAATTTGCTGTATTTGCCAGCAGTATGCCCAGACAGATCTGTGAATTCCTATTTTCTGATGTCCCTGTAGTCTCTCGTCTGTCTTTTACTTTTAACATACTGGGGTTAAATATATTTGACTGTTTATGTGAGTTGGCATCTTGATTTCCCCAAGGGGAGCCCATCATACAAATTAAACAAAAAAGAAGTATATTAAGGTTTGGTTTAGTTCTTCATTGAAGTAAGCAGTGAAAGAGTCACAATTAAAAACTAAAAAAAAACCTCCAAATGCCAGATTTAAATGTAGTGCATGCTAGTCAAGCATTTTCTTAATGACAATTTTAAAATAGCAATTAGTAAAACAGTATACTTTATGTACCAGTACTGCTTATCACACTGTACTCTGTTTATAAAGTACATTCTTGCATATTCTTGTATGCAAGAAGTTTCATATAATATCTTTTTTTTTTTTTTTGAGTTGGAGTCTCACTCTGTCGTCCAGACTGGAGTGCAGTGGCCGCTCCCGGCCACCGCAGCCTCGGCCTGCTGGGCTCCAGCGATCCTTCCGCCTCAGCCTTCCGAGTAGCCGGAATTACAGGCATGCGCCACAACACCCAGCTGATTTTTTGATTTATTGTAGAGATGAGGTCTCACTGCCCAGGCAGGTCTCGAACCCGCGGGCTCAGGCAATTCACTCACCTCAGCCTCCCAAAGGCGCGGGATTACAGGCTGAGCCACCGAGCCCGGCTTCATATAATATCTTAAACAAAATTATAAATTAAAAGATTAGTAACAATGGGATAATCTTGGAAATAAAGTTATGTTTTAAGTACCTGTGTGTGCGTGTGGGTGTGTGTGTGTGTGTGTGTGTGTGTGTTACAGAAAGATACATATACAGTTTGGAACTTAAAGTCTTAAAATTAACTGTAAAGGACAATGATGACTTACATGTCAATGAGCACATTTAAACTTTTCATCAGAAAACAAACTTTTCTAGTATAAAAGTCTATGATAATATAATGCTCCACAATTCTCAGACATTTTCTACAGTTTCAATATATTATATTTTTATAAAGGAGTAAGTTACTTACAGAGGTATTTAGGGTAATAAACCTTAAAGCAGTTGATGATAAAGCGTACGAAGTCCATGTCCTAAAATAGAGATTAACTCTTTAAGACCGTCCACATTAGAGAACTTTAAATTGTACATTTCTAAAGGTGGAAATTATTAAATACAAATGAGACAATTACTAAAGTCTTAAAAAATATGTAAATACCAATATTCCCAAACATTAAGGTCTTAGGTCATTAAGCTATTTATAATAATCAGCCCTAAAACTGAGTTGAAGAAATCAGATGCTTGGTGATGTTTAAAAATTATTCACATAACTTCAAACTAGTTACATCAGACTGTTAAGGTAACAGGGCATAAAATGGATCTAAAAGCAATCCCCACACAGAAATTCTAAAAATCTGTTGAATAACTAAATCATTATTAAAACAAGTATACAGTTTATAACCTGACTACTTGGTATGATAACATGTAGGTACGTAAATTAATTCTGGTATATTGCTTTTGAAACCTAATGCTTACATTTCATTAATAGCTTTAATAAAATATCTTATTATTTTGTTTATATAATAGTTAGTTCAATCACATTGGCCAGCTGTATCTATGCCACTTCTGGCTTTTTTTTGTCTTTTGTTTTGTTTTGTTTTGTTTTTGTTTTTTGTTTTTTTGAGTTGGGGTCTCACTCGGTTGCCCAGACTGGAGTGCAGTGGCCGCTCCCGGCCACCACAGCCTCGACCTGCCGGGCTCTGGCAATCCTTCCGCCTCAGCCTTCCGAGTAGCTGGAATTACAGGCGCATGCTACCACGCCCGGCTGATTTTTTGATTTATTGTAGAGATGAGGTTTTGCTGCCCAGGCGGGTTTCTAACCCGCGGGCTCAGGCAATTCACTCACCTCAGCTTTTTTTGTCATTTTAAGGGAACCAGAATTAGTTTTTAAGCTGACATTCAAGTGTTGTTAATTCATTCCAATTTCTGGAAGACTACTGCTTTGTTTCCCAGACATTGGCTGGGTTGGTTCTACTACTTTGAGCAAAGCAGCAGGAAATTAGGTCATTAGGGTTATTATTCACAAGGGTCATCTCATTCCATTCCATGTTATCCCATGGCCACATACTGATTCACTAATCCTGATCAGCCATCTTATAAAGACCATGAGATGAAAGAGGTAACTAGGCAAACTTAAGTCCATCATAATTACTGAAAAGTGGGTTGTCCTGAAGATGAGAACCTATAGAAGTCATCCCTAGCGTGTTAGTTGCAGCATCTTTAATTGCAGTAAGCGCCCTTAACTGTCTTAAGTAATTATTATGAGATACATTCTAGTATATAATAATACATTTATAACTAATCATTATATCCCCTATGCATGGAGTTTCATAATTGGCAGTTAAATAAGAGTCAAAGGAAATAGCTGAAAAGAGCTGTTTAAATAAAAATTTGGTTACCTAGTTTATAATTTGTTGCTCCCAGAGACTTTGTCTAAACAGTCTTTGTCTATACTCTTGTTTCCATCATATATTGGATATCCTTGCTCATAAAATCTCAAGTTACTGCTAATTCAAGTGAATTTGGTAAAATACCACTGGTGCATGTTTACTAGTGGGCACTACACGAAATAGCTCCATGAAGCCTATTGTTCAGCATTCTGTGAGAACATTTTTTTGAGGATATTATTCATTCATTATCTTTTCAAATGTCTTCTTTTTGAGGACCCATTAGAAACTTATTTTTAGTTCAAGTAATAGAAATAAATATGCTTCTCTTAAGACACTGGTTTTAAAGTACGGCCAAATAATTTTGAATGAATGTATTTCTGTCAGACAGGCAGCTGAGAGCTTACAGTCAAACTGGTGGCCCAATTCTAACAAATGATTTTCTTAGTTTTTGCCCTGCAATTTTGTATACATTTTTATAAGCTGACTTAAGTCCTTTCTGAATTATGAAAGGGTCATATATAAAAATATCTTATTCAATAAGATGTGTGTATTTAAAAACACTAATAATAACTTAAATACTTTGTAATACAAATAAACCTTATTTACAAGTTAAAAATGGTGAGTAGCTTGAAAAAAAAAAATCAGGCAGATCAAACCAATTCCCTGCCCCTATATTTGGCAATAGAAAACTAACATTTATTTTTGATGATTCTTGGTTAATAATTAGGAAACCATCATATCCCAAGGATAACATAATCATGATTTATTTTTATAAAATATTTATCTAGGCAAGTTGACTTCAATTTTGGGTAGAAAATAATTTACTCTGTAATGGAAACTAGGTTGGAAAAATTCAGGGCATTGGATTCCTTAAAAAAATTAAAAGAGAAACAGAAACATGAGAAATAAATCTGTGGTCCTACTGCCCATAAAAAACTCTTGTTACCAGTTCTCTCTAGCCTGTTTTTTGTTTGTTTGTTTTAATGTCTATGGTTTCCTTTTTTTGGGATTATGTATCACCATGTTACAGTATATATATATATATATATATATATATATATATATATATATATATCAGTATGATTGATCATATAGCCTTTTTCATTTTAAAAAAAACTTTTCAATGTTACTACAAATTCTTTATGAACACTATTTTACATAGTACACATACTCTGTCAATTAGGTATACTATAATTTATCATTTCACCACACTGATCATTTACATTTTTTCCTAATTTTTTACTATTTTAAATGAAACTGAAAAACATTTGGGTTCACAATGCTTTTTCTGTACTCAGGATTATTTCTTTAAAACAGATTTTCAAAAGTTAGTTACCAGGCAGAGTGTGAATATGAACACTTTAAGGTTCTTAACATACTTTGCCAAGTGGAATTCAAAAAGATTTCAACAATGCCCTGAGCATATATGTGAATATCACTTCACTGCTACCAGATTCAGCCATGGTTTAAATTAAGAGGCAGTAGTTACAATAAATGTGTTCGTTGATCTCAGTTGCTGCTGAAGTTTTCGTAGATAACACTAAGGTCACAAAGGCCCAAGTTAAAGACTGGTAGATTTTACTTATTTTTAAAACTTGGCAATATCACCTGAAGTAAAATGGTTTCTAAAGTTTATCAAATCAAGCAAACAGAAAACAAATCCAAACAAGCAAACAAAAAAACCCAACAAAATCACAAAGTGCTGTATGTGCAAACCTCATGTGAACATCTTGCAACTGCAAAATATGGTATGAATATAACAAAGCAGAGATCAAACATTACCTTGCTTGATATTTACAGAATGTATTACTACTCTGTGCCTGGCACAGAGGTGAGTGCTATAGGATACTAGCTTTAATATATAAGTTTACTGTTACTACATAGACTCATACCTTGCCAGTCTTGATGTCCTACCTCTGCATCCTATGTATCAGACAAGAAACAGTACTAGGAAATTGACAGTTTCAATGCCAAATACTGAAGCAAATTTAATTTTCTGCAAACCCTATTCCATATTTGAATACGCTCATATTGCAAGGGGAAGAAAATCTCAAATACAAGTTGGCTCAATTTTATAGCAATATTTTGTTGGCAGGGAGGACAGAAGAGAGGGAGAAAGCTATGATAAACAATGATTTAGAATGAATGAAAAATGCTTACGATGCTATTTATTCCAGTTTCTGACAAGTCAAACATCACTGTTACAGGTTTCCCATTTTCTCTCTTAGCATAACGTTCCAACCAGAATGCTATGAGCTTCTTTTTGTCCAACAGAGTCTTCTGGTCTTTTATATGATACTTCACCCTGATCCAAACTTTAAATAGAACAAAAGATAAAAATAAGAACAAGATCATACACATGCACACAGCCTTTCCCTTGACATATTTCTTCATTTATAATTCACTTTGTTTCTCAGATTAAAAACACCTTTTCCTTCTTTTAAGTGAGAAGCAGTTTTACTTGGGAGCCCTAAAGAGTGGCAGAGGCCGGCGCAGTGGCTCACACCTATAATCCCAGTACTTTGGGAAGTCGCGGTGAGAGGATTGTCTGAGCCCATGGGTTCGAGACCAGCCTGAGCAACTTGGCGAGATCTCATCCCTATAAAAAATAAAAAAATTAGCTGGGCATGGTAGCACACACCTGTAGTTTTGGCTACTTGGAAGGCTGAGGTGGAAAGATTGCCTGAGCCCAGTGGGTCGACACTGGGGTGGCTGTGAGCGTGCCACTGCACTCTGGCCTGGGCAACAGAGTGAGGGACTCCAACTCAAAAAAAAAAAAAAAAGAGGTAAACTATTTTTCTTTCGCTTAGGAAATACACTTCACTTGTAAGGGGAAAAAGAAAATACAGGTGAACAAACATTTATATTTGTTTATTTAGGTTATACATTTACTAAATAACCTACCTAAAACATTTAGGTTATTTGATAACAACCTAAATGTGGTCTTCATTGTACTTAACAAAAAGAAAGGCAATGGTTCTGCCAGACAGTAGAAAAAATGGTTCATTTAGAGGAAAAACACTGACAGAGGCGTGATAGAGGCATGAGCAGGTGCTGTGCACGTGGGCAGAGCATGGCAAGCCATTCAGATGGTGGCAGCTAAGACAACATGTGACTAGTGGTGAGAGGAAAAGCTAAATAGAGAGATGGGTTGGGCTTGAAAGTCTCTGAAGGAAACACTAGGGAGTTTTGATTTTCCTACTTTAGAATGCCTCTCAGGAAACTCGCCAGGCTATGACCTGGGTAGGGACTGGTGGCAAAGAGCTAGTACTTAGGGATTGAACTGAGGAAGTAGTTAGTGAAGATGGAAAAGGGGTCAATTTAAAGCTATGTTAGAGGAAGAGCCAATGAGTAGGTCTGAGGTGGGCAATGCAGAAAACACACAGGTATGGATGTTCAGTTGTGTGTTAAGTTGAAGGTGGCTGTTAGTGAGGCAATGCCAGTTGGTGGGTAGTGGAGTATATGCACATGGTTAGGTGATAGCGTGGAGTCACCACTGTGTGGGGGTAGGTATCTGAAGTTGCCAAGGTGCTTGAGATCATCCATGATCACCCAAAAAGATTTTGATGTGTTGGAAAGTAAAAGAGGCCAAGATAGAAATGAAGCCTGGGAAGTACATTTAAGAGACAGGCAAAATATGGAATAGGAACAGGTAAAAAATGTATTGTTCAAACAGGGACAGAACACACGCTACAAAGAAGGCAAGCAAGATGAGTGTACGATGTCTGTTCAGTATTGGGTTCCGATGAGCCTGCCAAGTCTAACCCTTGGTACAAAACAAGGCTGGATTTGGGGTAAGCAGGAGAGTGGCACAACAAGGGAGTCATCAACAACAGAGAAAATTGTTACTGTCCCTCCCATTATTTTTCTGAAAAGCTTAGGCAAGAAGAGTGCAGCTTGAAAAGAAAAAAGTCCATTTAGCAACCTTTGGCGACTGTCAAAAAGATTCTCCATAAAAATACTGAGTTGAATTTTAATACCATAGTCATATTAATTAAAAAAGATAAAGACTCTGACTTAGATTATTTTGGTTGTATTACAGGATTCAGCATTTGCCTTTATTGCCCGCTTTGTTATAATGTAAACAGTACGTGGTCTGACAATTAAGTTCATGAATTTGCCACTGTGTGCTTATGATGGCAGCACTGTTCAAACAGCTCAGTAAGGTTTCATAACCTTGGTTTCATTCACCTCACAGCTATGTTCATGTCGATGTGTGGTGGTGTCTTGCTGAGTGGCATTCATTATGTTGTTGCATGTTTTTGTGTGCCATCATTAGACTGTTGGAGCTTGAATTAGAACAATGAACACACATTAAATTTCTTGTTAAACTTGAAAAGGATAGAAGTGAAATAATGCCATGAAGAAAACAGCAGTATAAAAATGGATTAAATGTTTTTCTAAGGGGAGAGAAAGCATCACTGATGAAAAGAGGTCAGGACGGCCAGTAATAAGCAGAACTGATGAAAACATTGCAAAAATGTGTCAAACTGTGTATCAAAATCATCAACTGACTGTGAGAAAAAAAGTAGAGCAAATAAACATCAATAAACAGAAAAATCTTAACTGAATATCTTGGCATGAGAAAGGTGTGTGCAAAAATGGTCACAACAAGGCACCAGCTCACACAGCACCATCTGTGAGGAAGTTTTTAGCCAGTAAACAACTGTATTGGAACACCCTCCCTACTCACCTGATCTGGCCCCCAATGACTTTTTTCTTTATCCAAAGATAAAGAAAAAATGGAAAGGAAGACATTTTGATGACATTCAGGACGTCAAGAGTAATACGACAACAGCTCTGATGGCCATTCCAGAAAAAGCGCTCCAAAATTGCTTCAACAGGTAGACTAGGCAGTCCCAAGGGGAGTACCTCAAATGTGACCACAGTGATATTCACCAATGAGATATACAGCATGTTTTCTAGGATGAGTTCGTGAACTTAATTGTCAGAGCACGTTGCACAACTACTAAGTATCTCACACTTGGTAAAGATGGCTCTACTACTTCCTAACTGCAAGAAACTTAAAGTACTACATATAGGAAAAGTTCTGCTGATTATTAAGATAACAACATCTCAAAATCTTGAAAAGCTAGTTCATAAATTAAATATACTTACACAATTTGTTACCTTCTTTGTCATAACCATGGAGATAAATAACACCCATTTCCAATAACCACCTGGGAATGGAAGATTCATTGAGGTCTAAAAAGTAATAAACTTTAATCAGTAACTGTAATTTAGGGACCTAAAATTAAAATTTGTAATGTAAAGATAATGTTATACAGTAGTTCTATTAAAAAATCATATAATATATATAAACATCTGGAAAGAATCTCCGGCAATAAAAATGGTGTGTCCTTCTAAGAAAAAAAAACTACATGAAGACACAAGTGACTGAAGTAGACCAATTCCATTTTCCCTTGACATGACATTATTTATATAGATTCATGTCCACATTCCAACTGTGTCTCACATAATGACTTGCAAACAAATATTATCGCTATCAGAGAATTTCAAAAGAACATGCCAGCAAATATCCATACTGCAGCCTCAGAATTAAGTGGGAAAAAAAGTTATGTTGTTTTCTATAGTAAAATGGTATTTTTCTACAAAGTTTGATATCCAGTAGACACTTACACATTTTAAAACCTTGGGGCAAGTGGAAAATACTTCATGAAAAATGTGCGAACCTTTAGTAGGAGGAACAAACAAAGGGCCTATCCAGTTTCTGGTGAGGCCGAGAACCAACATAGCAAGGCAGCAAACGCCAAGACTTTTGTTTCATTTACTAGCAGTTCTCCCCAAAAATGTTCAAAGATTTATCTTTCCCCACCTCCTTTTTATTATATCTTTGCTGTTTGTCACTAGAATCTGGCAATTTTATGTAAGAAAATAAACACTGCTGAGTTTAAAAGTTATTCTGTACTTAAATAATTTAGAAATAGCTGATTTACATTGCTTTGCTTAATAAATGCTTCACTGTTTGTTGAAATGACCTACGGTGTTTATGTTTCTAATTACATTACTTCTTAGATACTAGCCCCCCTTCTCAGGTACAAAGAATGGGGAGAGTACCTGCTCTAGATGTATTTGTCAACTCTTTTGTATTAAGTCTTCAGACTCAAGTCACTCCAGAGTTTATAATCCTCAAGGACAGAAAATCTTTCCTTATACCTGACTGAAATCAGAAGTTATACCAGTTTCTTCTTATTAAATTTTCAGGAGGAGAGACAACAGGTAATCTTTCCTGTGAAGAGCTCCTCATATACTTGAAAACTATTATAAAACTCCCTTTAAGATTACTAACTCTCATTTTTTTTGGAAAAATTTCACTCTAGTAGTAGACCTAGACATTAAGAGAAGGGCACCTTAAGCCTCCTTGGGGATAAAATTTGCTTTTTTTTTTTTTTTTACATGGTTTGTACATCAAATGGTTTATTAGATTGTTTCAATACTTCTGGTTCCAGGAAATTTTACTCCTCCCAGCAAAGCTCAATCCATTTTGTCACACTTCTAATTTTCAGAGGATTTTTTCCCCCCTAAAGAATGAACCCAAATCTGCATTGTTGATATTTTCATTCAGTACACTGGTTTGGCATTCTGGGATGACACAGAATAAGTGTGACCTTTCTTTGATATATCTGTCTTACACATTTGCTCATTCATTTATCACTCATTCATTCACTTATTCATTTGCTTTTTTGGGACTCCTATTCATTTAACAATTCTATATGGAGCATCTATTAGCACAAATAACTCTGAGGATAGAGAAAGACATAGGCAACAACTGAGAAAAACAGGAAAATGGCATCTCCTTATTTCTAGGCCTAGTAGTGAGTATGATGGTTTGCTATTGTTTAATGGTACTGAACTAAGCACAGATTAGGAGACTCTGTTCTGAGTGAAGAATCTGAGAGTGATCCTGCTCCCTGGTGATCTGATTTCCTTAAGAATGATCCTACTTATAAGACTTATTCATAAACTGTTCCTTTGAAAGTATTATTGGGTCTTTATAAATAACTATATTCTGGTGTTTATGATGACTGCGAAGAATATGTGCAAATACATGATCAGATAAATGTAAAACAGTAACATCTATGCAAGAGGTATTACAGTCAAGGTTAACCAGAACAGCTTACCATTGACAGAAAATTCTTTCCTCCACTGAAAACTCTCATCAAGCATTTTCAGTGTTTCATCTACAACATTATGTCTCCAAGATAAGTAATTTTCAACCCAGTTATCATCTTGTTGTAGTCTTTCGATATCACGTGGATCATATTTATCTGACTTATCTAGGGAAAAAACAGTAATAAGCATCCGAGTCAGATTAATTCTGTGGTGAAAAATAACCATTAATGCCAAAGAAGAAGAAAGACCTGGAAGAGAAAGCTAAGCTGTTTGAGGATAGACACAGGAATGCAGCTCAGATGAAAATGCAATTTAAAGGATTAATAAGGTCTGGTGGGAGGTATTTTGGTCATGGGGGCAGACCCCTCATTAAAGGCTTGATGCCATTCACACAGGAGTAAGTGAATTCTCACTCTTAGTTCCTGCAAGAACTGGTACCGCTTTCCCCTCTCTCACCATGTGATGCCTGCTCCCCTTCACCTTCTGCCATGAGTAGAAGCTTCCTGAGGATCTCATCAGAAACAGATGCTGGCGCCACACTTCTTGTATGGCCTATGGAACTGTGAGCCAAACAAATATCTTTTCTTTATAAATTACCTAGCCTCAGGTATTTCTTTATAGCAACACAAACAGACCAAGACAGATGAAATTTCCAAGTGTGAGGAGAATACAGTTATTTAAAGACTACAGATTTACTTCAAGTTCGCCACTGAAGATGCTAAAAATAAAACCATTGTAAAGTATTTGGTATAACCCTTTTAAACTATAAACCAACAGCTGGGAAAATCAATTATGTTATCTGAACTTGATATCCTTAACCCACTAAATGAAAAATTGAAGAAATTTCATATGCAAAGAAATAACTAAGTTATACTTAAAAAGACAGTTGTTTGGCAAGTGTCATTTCAAAAACATAAACTAAATACAAAATAGAAAACTGACCATGTATACAGCATTATGGTATTTACTATTTTCAGGCTCTGTGGCCAACATTTCCAGTAATTTGTTGGAATAAGTATTTCTAATAAGAATTTCTCATCATTTGCCTACACATGCTATAGTCCTACTAAGGACTATACCAGACATTCCTCTTTCCCTTGCTTTCACTATTATTCTGTAACTGAACTCTCCATGTTTCTGCACATCCAAATACTACCATTGTGTAAGACTCCTTTCAAACATTCCCTCTTCCATAAAAGTTTCCCCAAGTCCAGAAGTAATTCCTTCTCTCCTGTGAACAGCCACAGGTCTTGAACTAAGCTTTTTTTAAGGTACTTACCACGATTTATCTTAATTTAGACATACTGGCATGCATGTCATATTCCCCAAATAGACAGTAGAGACCAAAGTTCTAAGCATCCTTCAAGGCAGATGACTGTGTGCCAATGAAAAGGCCTTCTGTAAATAATTGTCAACACAATATTTATTCCTTCTCCTTTTTTCCCCCTCAGTTAACTGTCCCCTCCCAAGGGCCCATGCAAAAATCTTCAGAAAATTCCTTGGCTCCATCATTTCCTTTTCTTTTGCATCTAGACCGTTGCCAAGTTTTCTATAGTCTATCTCCTCTCCATTGGTACTGCCTGAATTCAGGCTCTCAGAGATAATAGCTGAAAGGCCAGGAAAATATAAAGTGCCTTCTTAGAATAATCTTTGAGCCTCAATTTCCTTATCTTTAAGCTTTTTATATACTCCTAGTGCTGTGAGGATCAGATGAAAAAATGTATATGAAAGTACCTGGCAATTTAATGTACTATAAAAATGTAAGAGGCCACAAATCATGCATCTGTAGAATATTAACCTTAGATATGGCTTTTAATATCTGGGTTCTGTTTTTCTAATCTGTAGTATGAGTGGTTCTGTGGTAGGTAAAACTTCAAAACTTAAGTATGACTTTTCTTTCTTTGAAATAAAAATGGTGGTCCATGAAAAAGGTGACTAATTCAGTTGGCAACTCAAACATACTTAGTATGCAGAAGTGTTTAATGCATACTTCCCCATTTTGTCACACAGAACATTAAAAGGACATTTGCTCAAGGGTCAAGAATTAATACCATCTGCTTCATCGGGGACTTTATAAAATAAAATTGGTTTTTCTTGAAAACCTGAGAGTGCTGAGCTGACAAGGAAGACTACGATGACTACTAGCCTTGATTCAGGCTAAAGAGTCAGCAGTTTTACCTTCCATTGCTTCTGTGTAATCAGTGCAAATGTCAACACACTGAAAAAAGGCAAGTGGTATCTTAGACATATTATGAAAATAGTTCTGACCTCATAGATTTCTCAGAATCTTGGGCATCCCCTAGGATCCCTGGACTACACTCTGAAAACCAATTACTTAGAACAATATTTGGCAATTGGTAAGAACTTAGTAAATATTAGCCACATTAAGAAGAAAACATTACTGTTGTTGTTACTAACACTGCTAGTACCACCAGTAGGGATACCATAAACAAGAGAGTGTGTATTACAAAGAAATTTAAAGCCCGCTGCTCTTTGATAGCTTTCAGGGATGCAGATCATTGAATTAGAAATTTCCATTTACATTAAAGTGATTATTATTAATAAACACGTGCTTACATATAAAATGCTGGTTGTTGACCATTTACCCCTAGACAAACAGAAATGAAATCAGGAAGGGGAAAAGAAAAGAGAAGATTGTAGAGAGGGCCTTGTTGGGATTGGGGGAGAGAGGCAGGAGAAAACAGGAGGAAGAAGAGGATAGAGGAGAGGCAGGAAGGGAGAGGAGGGGGAGAGAGAATGAAATAGAGAAGAAAAAGATAAGAAAGGCAAAGACAGAAAAAGGAAATAGAGAAAGAGAAAATAAACTGCGCATTCAAGAAGATAAGGAAAACATGGCCTGGGACCAAAAGGTCAAAGGCAACTGTGCTTTTGACAACACTTTCTAGCACAGCCCCTCAAACAACTGAGCTCTCAAATAATTGGGAATTTTCAGAAAAGTAGTACTTTGGTAAGTTCAGATGTGCTATGGTGTTTCAAAATTTAGGTGCTGCCAATGTGACAGGATTAAGAGGTGAGGCCTATAAAAGGAAATTAGGCCATGAAATCTCCTATCCTGTGAATGGGATAAAGGCCCTTAAAAGAGGCTTCACACAGCATTAACTAGCTAGTTCTTCCACCTTCTGCCTCTTGAGGATGCAGCAAGAAGGCCCTCACTAGACACCAAATGCCAGCACCTTGATCCATTACTTCCCAGCAACCAGAGCTGTGAGAAAATAAATTCAGATTTCTGTAAATTAAACTGTCTCTGGTATGTTGTTATAGCAGCACAAAATAAGGCAAGATGTTACAGGAAGAAGCTAAGGACGTATACCGAAAAGTTATCTGAAGATATAAAAACAAGTGTGTGTACACGTACACCTAGGAGGTCATTTGGAAGAATTTTACCTATCAACGATTAACTGTAGAGATGAGGATAAGAAAGGTTTAGTTTTATACAAGGATATGTATGAATATGTATATACTCTAACACCTTGTCTTTATACAAGGATGATACCTTGTCTCATAATACCAGTGAAAAACGCATCACGCCGGGCGCAGTGGCTCACATCGATAATCCCAGCACTTTAGGAAGTGGAGGCGAGAGGATTGTCTAAGTCCAGGGATTTGAGACCAGCCTGGGCAACTTGGCGAGACCTCATCGCTACAATAAATAAAAAAATTATTCAGCATGGTGGCGTGCGCCTGTGGTTCCAGTTACTTGGAAGGCTGAGGTGGAAGGATCACCTGAGCTCAGTAGGTTGAAGCTGCAGTGGCTGTGAATATGACACTGCACTCCAGCCTGGGTGACAGAGTGAGACTCCCACTCGAGAGAGAGAGAGAGAGAGAGAGAGAGAGAGAGAGAGAGAGAGAGAGAATGAATGAGAATTACATCACAAACATTAATCGCAAATAGTGGATATTAAAGCCTCATCTGTATAGCTCATTTCAGCCAATCCTTTGTTAAAAAACCTTAATGAACTATCAGCTCATCTATGGTTAACTGGCCCTTTTTATTTCTTATTTGTTTATGTATGAGTTTTGCTCTGTAAATTGGTCTTATATTAATACAAGTATATCACCACCAAACAAATTGTAAAGTCCAACCTGCTAGAAAAAGAACTAAAGATAAATGGCAATGGTGATTTGCTTCCAGGAACAGATATTGTTAAATGTTTCAGGGTAAAGATGACTTCTTTCTCCCTCTCAGTTTTTCATCTCTCTCCAAAATGAGCACATGTGTGAACATACACTCACACAAACTCACTCTCCCTCTTTCTCTCATACACACTTTTAAAAAAAACTGTGTGTATTATAAGATAAAGAGACTATAGTTCTTACTTGCAAAACAGAAAATTCCATTAACTTTGCTTTTTTCTCTTGTACTTGTTGGCTGGTGACATTAACAACAGGTCAGAAAATGTGTTTTAAGGTTAACAAATATGAAAAAATTTCTGGTCACGTTCAGCATGGAATCAGAAGACCCATGGTACTATGTATGTATAGTAAGACTAAGCAAGTCACTCTAGGCCTTATTTTCTTCTTTACCCACAGTCTTAGGAAGATTAAGAACACTGAAAATTGTAAGCACTATTCAAATGAATTTCTATTAACATATGTTAGACTGCTAATCATGAAAAGAACACTAAGTTCTAATTTACTTATTAATCAGCTAAAAAAATCTTGGAAGTATACTGCAGTTACTATACATGTGCTTAAATTTCAGATAAAGATTGGAAAATACAAAAGTTCTGTAATAATGAAAACTAGAGCCAGGTGTGGTGGCTCATGCCTGTATTCCTAGCACTTTGGGAGGCAGAGGCGAGAGAATTGCCTGAGCCCAAAGGTTCAAGACCAGCCTGGACAACTCGGCAAGACCCTGTCTCTACAAGAATAATAATTAAAAAAAATAGCTGGGCATGGTGGTGTGAGCTTGTGGTTCCACCTACTTGGAAGGCTGAGGCAGAAGGATCACCTGAGCCCAGCAGGTTGAGGCTGCGGTGGCCATAAGCGTGCCACTGCACTCCAGCCTGGGTGACAGAGTGAGACACCTACTCAAAAATAAAAAAAAAACTAGAAAACAGTTATTAACTGAGAGTCATAATGTTCCTAAACAGCAAACATACAACTCTAGATCATCACAGTAGTTTAAAACATCTTAGGGATC